CTTCTAACCTAATCGAAGTTCTTCTAATTTACATAAATGTTTCGAGCTGCACTTGGATAACTGCTGTTAAGCACTGCTTAAAACAACTGAGCGACTTCCGACATAAAGTGTGTTTACCAGGCTTCTGTGTTTTTCCACCTAGTAGATGATCATCTAACCACTGCATCATTCCGAGGTCAATCTTTCCTAGCCTAACCTATCCTGGCTAGCTAAGCCTAAAATAGGCGGACACAACATTAGAGATTCGACGAAACCTATTTGCTCCGCGCGCGAATAGCTTTCGCGCCGCTCCCACTCGCGCAAGCCTACCAAAGACAACCAATGAGCTTACACGAAGGTAAAAGAGCCAGCTAGATCCGCAGGAGAAATTTATCGACAAAGCGAGAGAAATGAGATAAATAGCAGGAAAGCATCATGGCCAAAAACGCCGACGCTATGCCTCCGAAAGAGGGTACGTCCATTAGCCATCTGTGTGCCCACGAATGGCGATGGCTTCGCCAACTGCCGGAATGGTGGTACTGAAGGTAGTAAAGACGAAGCAGTTCGTTAAGACTCTCGATTCCTTGACGTTGACAGGAGAAGTCGCTAACGGGGGCTGCGGACGGTTCGCAAGAGGTATTAGGGGCTTGGCGCTCGTATAGCTTAGTCTCGCAGGCTTTGTAGGCTTTTGTCAGTATCAGTCAAGACATGAGAGGATAGGTATGCGAACGAAAAGATGTTAATCAACTACTGAAATCCCACTCGAAGAAATTTTGTGTGGAAACGGGCGATAGATGTGATTGGCCTGACCCTAGACGGGGGAAGGGAGGCGGCGGGGGCGGTAGGGCAGGACGAATGGGAATAGCTAAATATTCTCGACGGCGTACGCCAAACGATCATCCCAATAGGGGTAATCGCGATAACACGTGGTTTACATAGGAAGACAGCAGAAACGAATGGACTGAGGTAGAATAAAGCAACTAAAAGTGGGGCAGTGCACATAATAACAATCGAACTGTCGTTCGCTGCGCTAAACGTGCTAAGAGCGGTGCACGTATGTACGTGCCGCCAGATCTCTCATATGGAAACAAACAGAATTATAAGGACTCACCATTCGTGACTCTGTAATGACTGTTGATACCTGATGTCAGTTAGGAGTTACTGAAATCAGAAAAGCAGTTGATTTTGAGTCGTTTGTCGTGATTATTTACTTCGGCTCCCAGTTTAGAGATATTTAAATTTAGACGTTCTCCAGTAGCACAGCAGGCATCCCAGGGGTGCCAACTTCACTTGACGCTGGTAGAAAAGTCACAGTAATGAATATCATTGTCACAACGAACTAGGAAACATAGACAGGCAGGTTTCTGAACTATGCTGAGCCCGAACGTCTTTGGTTCAAAGCGGCCTTGCGTGATATAGCTTGCGTTAATACAAAAAGGAATAAAAGAAATAGGTTTAGTAAATCTTGCTTATGTTTATTGTTGTGCGGTGCACCCTTCGATGAGTCTACGATTGAATTACGAATTTGTTTGTAACTTAAAGAACTGGAAAGCACGTGGTTTTATCAGTAGAAATCATCATCTATATTAAACACTATTGCAAGAACATTAGTTACCAGTAACGATTAAAGCTATGTAAAATGTCGTTGTGATTAATTGTGGGCACATTTAAACCATGAGGCTCTCTGGCATCGTCAGTGGCTCGAGCTATCTTACGTTTTTGCTTCGACCATTGCGTGCTCACATCTAGTTTCCAGTCAAGTCTTTTCATCGTTCATGTATGCGCTGCGTGCAATTCAAAAATGCCATATGGAATTATGGCCGCGTTAGCCACACATCCAACAGGTCGAGTTATAAATGATGCGTTTCGGAATCGTCCTATATCTGATAGCATCACCGACGGGCAGCAGTAAAGCGGCAGAAAATGGCAAATTATTCGTTCTCTTTGGTCTTTATCTCGCCATAGAAATTTGACATGGTACGTGCCCTCGGTCGAATATGTATGTGCCGACACCCTGTTACCACAAATCAGAAAAAGCTGTGCTGTGTGTATTGGTGCTACGGGACGTCTCGTCGTATTGGCGTCAGGAAAAGCTAGCAAGTACGAGGACTGCTAGAATCGAATAGGGTGGGCGATGTTTGTGGATGGCCGTAAAGACGGATGCACGTTCCCTTTTGCACAAAATACATGTTCCATGACGCACGCTCAATACGCCTAGAATACATGAAGAATTTAAACTATTAACTAAATATTAAAATTATTAATTATAATTTTAGCTAAAATACTATTTTAAATGATAAAATTATTCATTAAATGATTAAAAGAATAAAGTTAAATTGCCCACACCCTTAGGTGTAGGCGAGCCTAAAAAATAACTTAGCATTCAATGCCCTATAGTGGCCTTCATCAGTGGTACTCATATTGTAAAGCTGTAAAATGACGAAAGCTAGTATTTGAACCTGTAAGCTTGTCGAACGTTAACTCGATCGCAATCAACTTCAACTTGTGTATTAAAGAATGGCCGAACAACAAACAATTGCTTTCATCCAATGTATGTACGTACACATATATGTATGTTCGGTATAGAGGACTTGATTTTAACGCTCCAGCTTCGATTATCGAACAGTAGAGTATTCTTGCTCGCAGCATTGGGACGCGGAATACGTGAGGCACTATGAGGTCCGAAGATTTTTGTTCTCGTCCACAAAAAACACTTTGACTTCATATTAAACTCAATCGAAAATCTAGATTTTCTAGAATGTGTAGACCATTTTTGTTGGACGGTTTCATACGTACAAACCTGTAGAAAATGATTCCATTCTCTATTTCATGCACTCTTATAGAAAGTGTCATAAGAAATTCTATCGGAAATTTCCGTTACTTAGTTCTCCGTTATACGTTCTCTCGATTTTACTGCTGGAAGTATGATTTCTTTAATCTGCTGACAGAGCTTTGCACAATTTGAGCTGAAATTTCTGATCAAGCTTAGTTCGAAAGCCATTTAGGATTCGATTGGCTTTTCCATTGACGACCGACCAATCCCACAACTGTGCTATAACAGTTCGGAGGTAGTTTATGGGAGAGTGGCTGAGTATTCACCTGTAGTATTTGCGTGCTTCACTTCATTGTTCTTTTTTTGTCCTTCTTTTTCCACGTTCGGCCCGCATCATCGGTGCGGCCTCTTGGCACAGCGAGGGCAACCAGCATATATATGCTGATTTTAATCGTATTTATTTGGCCGACAAATATGTTTCGACGGCTGCCACCATTGCTGATGGTGCTGTTACTAGCAACTGTCGTTGCGTCTGTGAAAAGCTGACATAGGGTAGAAAATAATTTAGTAGTATAATAGAAAAGCTATAGAGCCGCATTAGAAGAGAGCATGGATTGCTAAGGCCATTGAAACGCTACGTGGATTTTATAGCGATTAATATAATCTCGCTATATATATATATATATATATATGACCTCACTAAATGACTTTCCTTTATTGATAATATAGGGTGAGCATATGAGATTCGAATTCAAAATGCATATATAGGAAATATGCCAGTAGTTGTGCCTTTTTTGTCACAGCAGTATAGCATTACACGTGGTTTTAGTGGGTCCATGTCTAGCCCTCACATAATGGCTGAGTATTGCTTATTGATCAGCCTTCATGTGGACCTCATGTGGAATGGCATACGACTGAAGGAAATGTTCAGCTCATAGCGATGAGGACCTAAGCAAATGAATGAATACAATACAACCTGTGTTGACAGGTAACGTCGTCTATCGTCGTTGCTCTAAGTCGGACTCTGACCATAATCGCGTTATCTATTTACTAAGTAGGATTGAGGAGTTAAAAAAAAAATAGAAAAGTTTTCAAAACGTTATTCAGATAGCAGTAGTACAAAACAACCAATCTGGGGGATATCCGTTTCTATATGTTAACATCGAACTTCCAACGAAAATCTTGTTTGTCATCTGTTTCGAATCAGTTTTTGCTGCGTTCATATGTACGTACGTTCACTAACTAGGTATAATCAGTCTATACATGTATTAATAGCCGGGATGACATGTGGCTTCATGTATAAAAATTATGACTTCTGAATGACCTCTTAACTTGGATCTTGACCCCTTTTTTATGTGGGTCTACGAGAAGTTATTTCAATAACACTAATACTTGAGCGGATTGTTTAAAATCAAGGCTGAATTTGTGTGTTCTTATTGCAGGCAGAGGCATACCTGAAAGATCAGATATTTTCACTGCAGGCTAGTGCATCACAACTAAAGCGCTGAGAAAGTATTCAGCAAGAAAGTTAACGTTATAAGTTGACTTCCCTAGATGGCTGAACGAATGTCATTGTCCAAGGCGCGCACATTTGCGAGTCTCGTTTTGGGTCGAAACTTTCGGGTGGTGACACAACGTCAACTGTTAACCGTCTGTTTATCCCAAAAAAGTTCGTCTCGTATCTCTAGAACCAAAGTAAACTTTTCCTAAAAAGGTTGATTCCTATATTCCTTGTTGTTTGATAGATTATTAAGGCAGTGACGTCGGTCTTATGGTACGTCAGATTCCTCCTTCCTCAATTAACTACATCTTTCCGTCACAATTCAGGACGGTTGCCCTTCTATCCGGCCTGTTTGTCAACGGATTATCTAATCGAACTATGAAGAAAGACCAACTGTCAATCAAAACCAACACTTTTCCTGTTAACTCGACTAAAATTGATACTTTAAGGCCTAAATTGATATATGCTGAAGCTCTGCACGATCCAATATCGGCTGGCAAGGTGAAGGAGGCGTTTTCAAGGAAAAAGAGGCACGCGTAGAATAATGTATTCAAAGCTTATTGTAGCGACAGCTTGCGGAACCAGAAACTGCAATAGAACCTTGAGCGGGAGTTTGGCTTGTGGTCATTAATTAAAAAAATATCATCACCAAAGTATTAATTTTCTCTATTTAGCTGTCACAATATTATATATTTATCCAATAACTAAATTGTTTTGACATTTTGTTTGTGTTTCCTCCTCACTTAGAACATCGAGGGAGTACGGCAGTCCAATACGGTGTGGTATAAACGAACAAAAAAACGGGGCCTTCCGGTTTCCGGCGGCCCAAGCGGCTTTCATGAAATCATCAAACAGCACAAATACTGCTGCCACATCACACCCTTACAGGTAAGGTTTGTCGTGAGCGGTAAATAGATGCGCCACGTCACACGCTCATAGCTGTTTTTTACTTGTAGAACGCGATGCTTTTGGTGCAGTTAGAACAGTAATGGACGAAAATGCGCCTGGGCCACCTGGGCTACGAGTGTTACTCGTAACGTTCGAGTCATCGCTACGGGCACCAATGGGCACGTCAAAAAAACAACTGATTTCCCTATAGGATCCATATTAATCTTAGCTTACATTGAACTTATGAGAAAGCTTTAATTTGTTACCTTCATCAGTTGATGTATGTATCGAATTGACACATATATCACAGCTTAGTTTTGCATTATAAGAAGGCATAGTTCGATATAGAAATATGCCTATTTCTACAATTAGCACGGTACGGAAGCGTTTAGCCAGGAAGTTTTCGAAGGCCGGTAAAGTTAGGTTAACCGAAAACTGACTCAGAATCTAACAGAGTTAACTAAACACTGACATCCGTATTTCTCTGTATATGTCTGGCCGTCCATGGATCCGGACACTCTTGGAACGCTATGAAACGATCTTATATTGTCTATGGTTTATTGAGCAAAGAACGTAGTAGGTAAACAATTTACATATTAATAGAATCCGACTTGTACAGGCCTCGATACGCGATGAATCTTTAATACATTTGTGGTCGACTATAATTGTACATATGTACCGCTTTTGCAAAAATCTAATAAATCATTAAATTACCGAGGCTGACTGTAGGCTTAATAATGTTTGCCGTTACGATTTTTAGCACAACGACGACCCAAGCCAATAGCAACAAATGCAAGGAAAAATCCTTATTGACAAAATAGGCGAAGTTCAATTGTCTGCGGCAGTTTTTTTAGACGGGGCCTTCCCATTGTGTTAGCTCTTCTAAGCATGGATTTCTAGCAGTGGGAATTCATTTCGATGCTACGTACTAATAGCTGCTTCGCCGTGCAAGCATATAGAATGTTCTGTACCGTCCTTGAATCGGCTGGAGCCTTTCGCGGCAACATATATCCCTATTGTTGGCCTGATTACTATTGGACTTAACACTTGAGTGGATGTGATCCTGTCCTTTATGATGTAACACGCATTTTGCCTTAATAACCCGTGATTCCGGAAATTCTAAGCGTCAAATCCGCGTCAGCAAATTGCCGATTACGTTGACTTACTCGTACCCAATAAGGCGAGTCTTTGCGAGTTAATGCGGGCTTAATATACACCTGGATACTCGAACAACATTTTTCGCTTACAAGAACCACTCATACCTTATCCCTAGACAGACTAGGAAAGTGTCGTATAAGTAAACATTCAGGTTGAGCTATTTGTATAATTAATTTTTTTTTCTTAAATTTGACGTTGATATAGGGGATACGCGTGATGTTCTTCACACAAAAGCAAAGGTCGAAACATTACAATAAGCCTCATTACCGGGAATTTGGACCCTTGACACGCCAGAGAAAAGAAGATTAGTTTACCGCGGACACCGATGTGTCCAACATAAAGTAATTAAGAAGCACACCAAGCCAATTTCTATATCGGCTGTTTACGAGTTCTACACGCGAAGGAGACAATCTTATCAATGAGGCCGTAAAGAAGGCGTCGTCGCCCGTGCGACCGCTTACGAAATGTCCTTTAGACTAAGTAAACGACGTATTAGTACGCCGCATAGCTTACCCCAGCGCTGGGCATTTTCCACCCAATCGATGTTCGTGACGGATCTCGCTTACCGGATAGGAAGCAATGGATTACAATTAAAAAGTCGGTGATCGAATCTTCAGCTGCTCTATTCGAACTTTTGCTCGCTGTTCGACTGACGCCTTCGCCGAGTGTGCAATATGCAATAGATTATGGCCGCATTCAAACCAAGGTAACTAAACCACACTTAATTAAGTGGTCCACAATGAAAATACGAGCGATACATTTTCAAAGCAATTCCCAATCAAGTGAAGCTGACAGTGGCCAACCTCACTTACTATGTATTGACTGAATATATATATTCGAGGTTTATGCCACTGCTTTATAGCTCCCAACGTTAATCGAAATATATTTGAACCTAGGCCACCGCGCATTCGCAATAAGCACGTGTGTTACCGTTACGTTATCACGAAGCCAGGACGAGTAGATTAACAATTAGGACCTAACATCAAACAAGACTATGCCGTAAACTGGCAAAAGAGCTAACGCTCGACTAGTGTAGTGTGCAACATAAATAAGAACACCGGAAGAATCGTTCCTATTTATTCTTAAAATCATCGCTGACACATACAAATTCTGTTGCCCTTTGCCCACTCGTCCGTATAAGTTGAAAAGCTGTTCTGTAGACTCGCTTCCGCCATTTGACCGGAGCTTCGAATGGTCGGCCATTACCACAGGCTCCAAAATTCCCATTATAGTCTCGGCGGCCATTGAAAGGAAGAGCATTATGAAACCGAATAAAAAACCAGTCGCTCAATAGTCGGGGTCTTCATCTCGCAAACCGTCAGTTTCGTTTGAAAAGACCCGGCTTAATTAAATGCTAAAACATTTAAAGTCAGCTTCGTCTGCTGTGTTGCCCACGACGCATTGCTAAGCGTTGAAATTAAACGTCCGTTCCACCGTCATTGTCTATTGTTTCATGAACATACCTATAGAATGTGTTTAAAGGTTGGCTAGGAGCCAAGTTATTGCTTGCCCGCGGCGATCTACCATGGTCAAGCAGGTGGTTAGAGATTCATTTGTATAGCGGCAGCTTGTTTGAGCACCAAAAGGAGTGGCATGTGGTGTTTCGGTTCGAAACCTGGCGTAGACATTCTTTATTCAACGTTGGAAGAAGCCTAACATTTGAAGTAATGCCTAACAACAACAGTAGACATGAAACTATTATTAGGAAGAATTACGATCATGCTTTTTACATGCTGCAATGATGTGTTGGTTACCTAGTTGCTTGCACAGTATTGAAAAGTATGCTCCTGATTTACAGTGAGAAATAGCCTTTTATCGATTTTGCGCTTGCGTAGCGGTTCGTTTAGCTTCTTCATACTTGAAGACCCATACAATTACTTCTATTTATTGATGCCCTCGTACATTTGTGTTACATTTCAGATTATTAACGGGGTCCGGAACAACGGGCGCAATCGCTGGCGCTGGTGGCGCTCACACTCCGTCGGTGTGGCGGTCTCGGCTGTGGGCGACGCGTCGCGTGCGACTTCTATTTACTGTGTGCTTCCTTGTTGCAATATGCTTCCTGTTTAGCGCAAGCTATACGTAAGTTATCAATGGAGCGCATATTACCGTGGCCTAAATGTGTTTGTAGCGTCGGTGCGCAGTAAAAGTACCCCAGAGAAAGCCATGCAAACTTTCTGATGCAAACTAACGCCGTTTTCTATTATTGAACATAGAATAAAAATAAGCAAAACCTTCTAAACAGAGATTAATGACCGAAACAGGTTTGCTTTGCATTTTCTCTGTTGCTATTTACACTTGCTAAAATGATCAACATATGTAGGCCTAATTCAACTAGGAAATTGTATCCTCGCAAGCGTCAGCTTTTCGTAGAATTTATAATTATATGCCGATTTTACCATATATAAACATTTTTTCTTTTGAAAATTTTAAATCACCGATTGGCTAGTATACGTATTTTGTCACATGTAATTTTGAGTGAAATTTTATCTGCACGCATAACGAGATTACTGCTATTGCAAAGTGACAAGCGTGTAGGCCCAAACAATGTGGCGTGGCCTATTTTCCAGTCCTGTTAGCCATTGTAGTAAATTTTTCAATAGTACGATTCCTACGAATTGTAGCTAGCTATGTTAAATGTTTGAAATTCTACGTCCGGCGATGCCACCAACTGTTGTTTCATCTATCCAAGATTATTTACTAATTAGCTGCTAGTTATTTTCACAATGAGTTCCAAATAGCATGAAACTGTTTCTTGATATGCCCATGGAGCAAAAAACTTCCGAGTTCGCTTGGACACAATAAAATTGCTTGAGCCTATATTATTATAAACATGGCAATAACGTACCGGATGGCAAATGACACGGATTGATGAAGTTATTTTTAACTTTTGAATCAATAGCAAATCGAACTTTTTCGAATCTTATTAAAGCTCGATTTATTTCCTGACCGCTTATCTCCAGCGCTTACGCGTATTAGACCTCTTAAGGGAATTTCACTGACTATTTACCGTCAACAGCCCGCGACATGTTTTGGTCTTAGAACATCAGGACATCGACGCCTCTATTCAACGTTGATTTAGAAAACGACCGACCCCATCTAAATTACAGCAATATACGGACCCCAAGCGGCAGCTTCAAAATCATCTCAAACGCATTGAAAAATGAACTTATCCTCTCTCTATTCATTTTTGCTATCTGCTGGAACATTTTTTCGTCGCCTTTTTCTATGCTGTTGAAATGAACAATGATTCATTTGCACGTATGCCTTCATAAAAGACAAGCGCGCCTGTGCCCTCTAGCAGATGAAAGGTTTTGCCTTTATTCATAGTTTTATCCAGTAGATTTTGTGCATACAGGAGGGGCTGTTAGGATAAGCTATGCCCCGATTTCCGCTCTGAACCCTAGTCCTAAGGCGACTTTATAGTTGGACAGCACTTGTGGTGGCAGCCCAAACAGCTATTATGCCCACTATTTTCCAGCACTTTTCTCATCCTCTTCGCCGTTCACAGCAAACCTGCACCATCCGTCGTACTAGTAACTTTTCGTAGCTTCGTACTGCTACTTGACCTAAACGAGTTGATTGTCACGAGAGTGGAGGTATGCCACTTCTATCTTTGTCTGTGCACACGCCCCTCTAAGTCTATATGCATAGCTCTGTTTATCGTGAGATGCACACCTCAAATTTCTGCCGCTCTCTTAGGTTGGTAGGCAGACAGCGGGCCGCTGGCGGCGTCAGTTTTGCGCTTCTCAACCCTCTCACGCAGCCTAACGCGGCCTGCGCCGTCTCCTTTTCGTTAAGTGGCAAACCACAGCTGTTCCGCAGCCGCTCCAAGTGGTGCTGATGTTAGCTCATTTGCCCTATTCTTCTTTTTATCTTCTGGGCACTTACGTACAGCGCTAGTTCGTGCTCTATTCAGAGGCAACGGCAGCAGCAAGTAAGAATTGCCTCAACAAACATTAGCTGATGGCCAGAAGCATAGAAAACTGAAGTTATTGAAGGCAGGATAATGGGTTAAGAACGAAAAGTATATGCAAAGATTTCCGCTAGCAGTTTCTTAGGGATGCGACGGGCTGTCACGTGTTGGCACTACTTGGCTGTAAATTACGGGCGATCTTAATTCGCCTTCCTATGGTGTACGTCTATATGTGTACGAGTGTTTATCTCTAAATATATTATGGTCATTTAAAGTGCATTATCTAGGTTTGAATTAACGGAACACCTCGCCCTGCCCCTTTCTGCGTGCAGATGACGATAAGAAACTAGAAGAGACGACGGCAAGCAAATATAAGGTCAACGTAAACGTGCTAACAGTAGCCCCTTGCTTACCATCTAATTGTTAGTGAAGTATGAAAATTTGTGGGGGCAAGAAATCCGAGTTGACAGCTTGTCCTGCTGCCTGCTAGCGTCAATTATGCAATGCTAATGACAGCAAAGCTAGGAAGAGATAGATAGCATAGAAGGGAGACACAACGCAGAAGAAAGATAAAGCTTAATCTGGACCTGTCGACACTGACGGATAATCTTGGACATGCCTGCGTCAGAATCAAGCCCAGGCGAGCTGCCTTAGGGCGGTGTAGCCGTATTGCGAAGTGGTGGATAGAGGGCGATCGGCTATGAAGACAGCGGTGATGGAATGATATCCGAGAAGACCTTCAATTACAAAATATATTTATGTGCATGTTAGTTAGTATACCGTAATAACTGTTTAAGAGAGCTAGACATATGCTTAGTTCTAAAAGTAGCGCAACGAAAATCTGTGGAACGAAGAATCTGCCCAGATTAGCTCTGGACCTAGGCAACGTACCCGAAGACAAGGAGTAGGAGCCGCAAGAACTGCGTCTGCTTGAGAAACTCATATAAACGAAAGTAGGCCTCTAAATTGACCTCAAGAGACGAAGGGATGGAGGCACAGAGTGTCCAATTGTACGGAACCCATTGTAATACAGTTTTACGCAATTAGTCTGGTGGAAGTAAAATAAATCTAAAAAAAAGTTGAGCTAACTAAAGTGGAACAATTACGTGGTAAACGGACGACGCAGGTGACAATGTCTCGAAATTCGAAATGCAATCTTTTATCGTCACAAAACGACACGTAAGAAAAAGCGGCAGAGATTGGGTGGCCAAAGAAGTATGCTTGCGCATAGACCGCAAAAAAGTTCTCGTTGTTGATTTCCTTTCATTTTTTCATTTCACTTGGCATTCTACGTGGTAGGCACAAAACTCTAGTCTTGGTCTAGTTTATGGCAAACTTTATATGCTCTTATCAATCATATGTAGTACTTGACTGACCTATGTAATTAAGGTGAATTATTAATCATTCATTCATTTACATTTTGCATACATATTTAATATACTAGAGGATCGAGGATATCTACACAAAGTTCCTGACAATTCCTGACTAATTAATTTACCTTACACATACCAGCAAGGATCTTCGTTAGTTACTATTATATACCTTACGCGGTGATTTTCAATGAGAGAATTAGCTACGATTTAAGCACAACTGGCTCCAAGTGTTTCCGATAATTAAACCCAAATATTACTCCAGCGTACTTCCGATATAATGAAACGATGATTCTCCCGAAGACCGAGATCGAGTCGCGTACGTTGGTTTTGCGCATGAACTACTTAGAGAACAAAGATTCTGGTCTTACTGACTGGACAATTCATACCGTGATTTTGAAAACGTATACCACAACTCTCGCTTAATCCTATTTACCACTGAGTTTGCTTTTTTTTTGTGCATTGTACCATAATATTAAGATATCTTGCGACTCTATCTGTCGGAGACAAATGTACACCAACGTTTCGAATGGATACGTACTCACATATAGTTTCTAACGGGTACTCTGTTCGTTGATTGAATCTGTTTGTAGCGCGCCGCTTATCGGCGTGGGTCTCGAGGAGTCAGGAATGGTCGTTCTATTGGGAAATGGCAGCGATCAAGGAGTATACTCCTGCAGGCGTAAAGAACACATTTTTTTCATGAAGACTCACAAGTGTGCGAGTTCTTCCCTGCAGAATGTATTTTTTCGGTAAGTAGACAGCTGCTCTTCAAACGATATCAGACCGGGATCACAACGATACCTGTTTGCCGCTGTACTACAGGATGGATGCTGGAGGAGGACGAGTCTTTTGCAATTAACCAAAAATTTTACTGAAGCAATCAGTAACAATCAGACACCTCGTGATAAACCTATAAATATATTGTATAACGCATTGAATTTCATTCCTTATCTATCCCATTTTAATCAGCCTCATGAGGCTGACATAGTAGTATCGGGGTGGTGGTTTGATCAACAAAATCTTTGGAACAGCTAAATCTTACCATTGGTATTTACAAATTTCGATATTTATATCGGTACACGCTAAGGTTGATTACCTACATGGGTGAATAGTTAATATGTATTGATACCGATATTTAAGGAAGTTCCCTATTCAATTCATCTCACGTAACTTTTCAATAATAACATGAGTAGTCCGTTACCTACAATACTATAGCAGATGGCTGACCGATAAGAATCATCGTCTTGTTGACCTGTTTCTTACTGAACATGATCAATAATTTAAAATCGTATTCGCATTATATTACCCATAATGATCTTGGAAGGTTTAGTCGTCCTGTCTCCATCTAGTAAGGGAAAAGCTGTCGCGTACCTCATGATGGAGGCAACTGATATTAGATGTCACAAGGCTACCAAACCTTCATGTCGATGATCATTGCGGTCGTGCGTTTCTCAATAAATAAACTTGCCCTCTTAATAAAAATAAAAACTAAAATAGGTCGCTAGAATGTCCCAGCGACAAAATGAAATACTCAACGCTTTGTACTCTCGTCGAGTTCTTATGCCCCCATTCCGTAGTGAAGAACAGCACCTGCAGTATATAGTGCTAACTATCTTCAGTGTAAGGGGCGACTTCAGGTGAAGGACATGTTGTCAAATCGACTTATGTCGCAGCTGTCATACGTTAAAGTGACGTAGGTATTGAGTGGCCTTGTTTGGCTGGCTAGTCCTGCATGCAGCAGCTAAACACTGCATCCCAACTACGACGTACGCCTGAAAAGATAAAGTATATCCGCTTTTCTAGCTCACATTTATAATACAAAGAGAAGCCGAACTTCGAAATAATATGGCGACAGCTGCCTGCGCCATAAATTCAGATTTGACATTTCATTGCTTCTCCGAGTCTGGCAGAAGTGTTCGCTCAATGAAATGCAGCCAGCCATAAAGAAATCACTTCAATATAAGATATATAATATAACACAATACTTAAAGTGACCTAATCTCAATAGAGACTTTTGTTACTCGTTCCTCTGTTAACAGAGTTCAGCTTAGTAGTAAATGTCTTAGTCAAGGCAGAGTTTAGTCTGATGCATGAATGTTTCCTGTGACATTGTCTGTATTGTTGCTCTTCGATTTGAATCTCAGTTACGGGGACAAACACAATCTCACAATAGCTTTGCCGTTGACAAATGCAAACTACTTCGGGCATCCAGCTTTTTTTAACCGGTCTATGCTGCAGATGGAGACTACACACACGCGTCAACCGATTGTCTACAGGTAAGATAAGCTACTTTTCTTTGTTTCACCTTGCAGATAGCTTGAATTGAACGCCTACTTATGATTTCGCACTGCAATGCATCGAGTTTTATTAACATCTAACATTATCCCACAGTAAACATCAGGCGTTTTAGTATAGAAGATCCCCTTGCGTAAAATGTATTGCCAACTATAGCCACTCCTCTTAGGCACACCTTAATTTGACGTTTTTGTTCTTCATTCTTAACTGTCATTAGGATGGAGATGGGAAAGAAGAAAGTGTTCTAAGCCACTTGAAACGATAAAGTAACACAAAATGTCATCAAGTGCCCACACCATATTTCCCTACTTTAAAAGCGCCCGGTTTCCTCCTTGATCGTTGCCATGGGTACTGTGGACTCGAACAGAGCCTGCTCGGCCAAGGGGCCTGAAAAGACGGCGCAGCGATCCTAGTAGGATACTCAGATAGAATCTAGGTTACGACTTCACGCAAAGCACGCGCCACGGTCCCCCTTGCTGGCCTAGCATTTTGATAAATGGATCATTGAATTGAAACATCAAGTGCCACATCGCATTATGCGGTTGACTACGTGCATTATGAAACTAAGGCTCGTACTTGTGTTGCTACGAAACAATGCCATAAACCTGTAATGTACATGAACGCGCACCGTTCGATCACTACGAAGGAATTGAGCCAGCTAAAATAGGATCAGCACTTAGGATCTGAAGGCCCCCCATCTCCATTCTACCATTCACAGCTCAAGTCTTGGGAAATCGGCCAAGCAAGCTAGTCGAGTCGGAGAAAATCGCACCAGACCTATTTGAATTCGTTTGAGTCAGTATAGAAACAAATGAACGACATTTATCTATATTCGATCTCAGTTCCGCATCGGTGTACCATCTTACCTCGATCTGCATTCGTCTGGATCAGAGGAAGCAGATGACGAGACTAGCCTACATATCTAGAGCCAGCTCGCAGGCTACGTATGTAGAGAGTGCGCCCATACGGCGTTCAGCCAGTGAAACCACACCGAACTCTGTACGAGTATCGAAGGACGTCTGAATGCAGTAAAAGCCTACCCCTTTCTTACGAGTCGCGGTTCTCCGTGCAGTATTGCCGTCAGTCGATTTTTGCGTCGAGGAGTTTTTCAAAATTTTCGCCCAAGATAGAAGAATTTCGCTGATTGAAATCGATAGTCTTTCAGTATGAAGAAAAAACGGGTCACACTCGTCCAAACTCGGCTTTCGGTATACAGCCACAATCATACGTTGTAGTTGACCCGAACTCATCAACGCGGACATATGTACTCGTGAGTTTGTTTCTGACATGCGCCGGTATTCACTTAAATGGAATCACAGAACTTCTCGTAGTGATGATGCAGTGAGGCAGTCAAAATTTTTGAGAAATCTTGGCGGAACAAAGGCGACGGACTTTATGCTTGGGCTTTTCACACCGCGGCGCTAACCATTGCGAAACGTGACGGGGAGCGTTGGCAAGTGAGTGAGTATTGCAACGCAAGCGGTAACATCCCGCTTTTCCCGTTACCTCTAAAGCTGCTAAGTTCGTCATCGTAACACGGATATGATAGACTGTTGGCTTGGTCCGTGACGCCTTCGCTTACGAATATTATCATTGTATCATGTCTTACTCCCGTAGATGGGGATACGGCGTTGTGAAATCTAGTTGCTCGTTGTTTTTCTTGTAGACTCGATATAGCACCTTTTTTTCAGGGAGTTTATATAGTATAAGAGAACAACGTGCGTCTAGAGAATTTATTCAAGATAAATTAAATTAGCTCGTTTTTAAGTTGTTCGTCAGTAATTTCCTTAACTTATTGCTCCTTTTTATTATTTCGTAACCAATAAAGGCATTCCTGTTTACCAACTCATTTTTTCTTTCGCCTGTTCAAGGTGGTACCTTCGTGGTACCATGCTGCATGTGCATAATAATTAAGTACTTTTTATGTGACTCGCCTTTATAGGTGTAAATACATTACTAGAGAAAAATCCAAACCCTTCCTCTGATGTTCTTAGTGTACTGCAGCCTATTGTTTCTAGCCAGTTCACTATATATAATGCTCTAATCTAGTGTTTGCTGATCACTGGAGATGGGTAGTTGAGTAAAACAAAAAGTAAAAATGTTCTGCTGTGAATTTGCATGAGCACCGCCGGAAGCCGACTCATTTCTAGGTCAGCCTCTTGCCCAATTACAGCGGTAGAGAACAGACCGGTGCGTCGGAACAAAAACCTCGCCCACTGCGATTCTCTGAGTCTCGTAGATCTGTAGCTTGGCCGAGTTCAAACATATTCTGTTGGTGTCAATTTGGATAAGCGTTACAGGACATTGTATGAAGAGAGCTTGATGGCCGGATTATGCCTGAAAAAACTCTGAGGAAGACATCGTCCTCTTCGCTTCGGAATATCACCACCGGAGTATATGTATATATATATATATATATATATATATATAGGGTGGGGCAAACATCTTTTGAGAAATATCACTTGAAATTTCTATAATTTTCACGGAAAATTTTTACGCGTATTTTTACTACCTTTTACACTCTTGTTATTTTAGCAGATATTAAATAAGGACCCTCAGACTTTGAAATGATCCACCCCGTACATATGTTTTTTGGAAGGCATATGGTTCTCGGTTGTTTCGCCTCCTCGGCTTTGTAATCTATATCTGAATTCTCAATTCTGAGTGACTATTTTGAGTCAGTCAATTTCCAATTTTTTCCACGGATGGCCATCCTACCCAGTGCATTTATCCTAGTCCTCGTTCTTTCTTCGCCTCCGTTCGCGGGCTGAGCTCGCCAGTTCGTCTCACCCCCCTCAACGCGTCTTGCCTTTTTCTGTAGCTACGGCTCGTAGAGGATCCACTCAAATAATTAACACTTCTTCTGATTACCACCTGCAGCTGCTCACTGTCGCTCTACGTCGTTCGTGGATGATCACTTTTGCTCTTACGCCTCATCATTTTTTTCGGCTACGCAACTATGCGAGTGGCGTTCTGATTCGATTAGACGGCACAGGACTGTGCAGTGCCAATGCAGGGGCTCGATTACCGAAGCCACGTCTACTAAAGCTGAACATATGCACAAACTAACTCCCGTTTCTACGCTTTACCTGTTCCACGACCAGCTAACACGGAGGCACCACCATTTTTCCTATTGCTGTCACACGAGCACTGTGCGAGTTTTGCGTTAAAGTTAGAGACACCTCAGCAGCAGCGGTACAGGTAGCAACTCTGAATCGCTATACAGACGGTACGAGCTGCATGCTCGATTAGCGGCTAAATCATGACGTTGTAGTGGCCCTTATTCGAGGCTGTATGCCAGACTGGGTGTGTGACTCGGTCTGCCTTTAACGACCGAGCAGATAATGGCCTTCCACTCCTCTGACACAAATAGAGGCTGTTCCACATACGGAAAATGTCCACGCGTTGGGCCCACACTGACTAGGCCATAGTAGCTTTTTTCTCTCTTCCTCTCTGGCCAGATGCCTGACACGAATCTTTATCGTGTATTGGCGCTGCTTACAAACATTCACTACGTTTTATTTTGTTCTATTGCCAATATGTCCAGTCGCAGCAGTGGCAACGCTGCCGACTTCATTGGCAGTGACAGCATATAGTAAAGTACAGTCATGCACTTAAGGTCCAGAGTGCATAAGTATCTATGTCTAGTTTTCTCAGCGCTTCTTGCTGGCCCGTCCTGTTAGTTAAACCCCTACTGCCTGCACTAAACTAATATCCTATACTAACATCGTACCTCATGACAACTAGTATTTCGATGTTTTTGGTGTTTCGCCAGCTTAAAGCCTTCAACACGTTCACCGGCTATTCATCGTCAGGGGACCGTTGGGTGTGGGCCGATAAAACAGAGTCAGATACTCCCCGCGCTCCTCGTACGGCACGCGCCACGAACGGACCGTAGCTGCGACAACGCCGCTTTAAGAAAAAAATGTGTTCATTTTAGCTACTCTCACTTGTACTACGTTAGCAAGTCCGGTCTGGTCTGGTCTGGTCTGTTTGGCAAAACCTGTGAAGGATAGTGGGTGGATATGTCCTGCTTAGCATGTCGACACGTAGGGGGCATTAGCCGTCCACATAAACTTATGCATGGGGAAGGGGCCGCGAGGCCGACAAAATGTTAGGAAGGACACGGCTTGAAAATTGCCTTTAATGACAATTGGAAGGTACTTCCGTTCCTCTGTTCGATCAGTTCACTTATCCACCGTCGAAAATGGTTACGACAGCGCGAAAAGGGGACGAGAAATGTTCAGTTTTAGCTAAATATAACTCTAAAAGTAAAATATGTATTTATACCTAAGTTGGCAGGTCGCGAATGCGTTGAATATAAATCGCACGCTTGAATGAACGGTCCATTCCAGATTACGTACTTTGAAAGAGCTCATCGTTTGATTAAAGAGCTCGTGACGGGCCTTGACGGTTGACCTGCGTCAGGCCGCAGTGCGTCGGTGGCTATTACATTCAACACAAGTGTGTCGAAAGTGAAATGTCGATTTATGTTGATCAGGCCGATTAGGACCCACGTCATTTACCCTATGGCCCTATCACCCTACTGGCTGAAACGACAGCTTAGAACTTATCATAAGTAACGATGCACTATTGTGGCCATAAGATGAATAGGTAAGGTCATAAGTAGACATAAGATAAATTTGTTCCGGTCAAAAATCAATTTTTAACCAATTCTTGCACGTATTCACCCAGCGAAACAAACAAAAACGCCAGCAAACTCTGGTCCTTAATAATCTTAATGTATCATTGCGGACCCGAAGCGTGGCCTGTGCGTTAACACAGACAGATAATACACTGGCCTTATTATCTCATTATGTTGATTGCGTAGTAGTTATCCTTGTGACAGATATGAATAGGCATTGACGCATTTGGTGTGATTGATACGTTCACTGACTACCTCGAGAAATTTCAATGGCTGTTCGATCGGTGTGTCGTAACTTGCTTGATTCCATGAAAAAAAGTTTACCTTACTTTTTGACAGGCACCTTGTGGAATCAAGATGTGTGGGTAAGTGGAGGTTACCGTATCAGCGTTGGTTGATGAAACAGTCGAAACTAACGTAGATGGCTTGTTTTCTTGTCTTTGCGCAGTATATTCGCGTCACATACGAGGTTCCATCATGGTGAAGTCCGAAAGGTGATGCCGACAGACACTATCTATATTACCATTCTAAGAGATCCAGTGGGTCTCTTCGGTTCGATGTATTCGTATTATGATCTTCACACCGCGTACAAACGTAAGTACGAAGCTAACTGCACCGCCACACGCACATTTGTCTGATTATATATATTCATATATATATATATATATACATATATATAATAACATAACTTCTTCCCCAACTAGATAGCGTAGCTTCAATGAATCGGAGCGAAGGGTCGTCGCAAATGAATGATAGCAGCGGTTGATGTACAATGGGGCAATGCTTCTGGTAGAATGGCACCCTAATTTGAATTTATCGCTCAATTTTAGTATCTCTCCAGGATCTGGTGCAACATCATCCTGACCCATTAGACCCGATTCATCGCAATCGACGTTACAATAAGTTCGGACTGAATCAAATGGCCTTTGATTTGGGTTTACCGGTTAATGCCTTCCGCAATACGGTCGCCGTTGATCAGTTCATACAACGTCTAGAAGAAACATTCGACCTTGTGCTCATAGCTGAGAGAATGTCAGAATCACTCGTTTTGCTCAGGTTTGTTGAGAATACCGCACTTATACATTAGCCTAATGATGTTATAGAGAAATTACCTGTGAAAAATCTGATTTGTGAGTCATCCCTGTTATGTTTGTACTTAGTGCTATAGTCAAGACCCTGTTTATCCCAGTTGAAATAGCTTTGGTCATATATCAGGGGACTAAAGACTAATAGGATAAGTATATACTTCGTTTTTTATGCACAGTACTGCCGCGAAGCATTGCTTCGGACGGCTGGCTCTCAAAACTGTGGATTGCGTGTATAATACACTGAAGTTCGTTGAAGTTAGCTGAAGTATTGGCCCGAGTCTTTGAAAATAACATGGCTTATTACAGGCTGTATGTACCTATTCTATTTGCCAAAAAATTGGTAGGTACCTGCTATGTTGGGATGTAGACGACGTGGTCTTGTTTAAAAAGAACGCTCGATCGACGTTATTCAAGAAGAGCGAAGAACAACTCACGCCACGTGACGTCAACACCCTTCGGACGCTTAACGCCGCGGACCAACGAATGTAAGCTGAGATATCATTGAACATGGAATGCGCATTTTTTGCCATCTTCTCTCGTCTCTTCGAGACTAGTAATTGTCTTTGGACAGTCTTCGAGGCGGCACTGTAAGGTCATATCTTTTCAAATACCTTTTTGGTCTTGCTCAGTGGAATCTATGCGGTAGTCTTCCTGATGCGTACAAATATTGACACGTTTGAATTATGGCGCTCTTGTCACAGTTATGATTACTTCAACGCCAAGTTAACGGAAAAAGTAAAACGATTTGGAGCGCAGCGTATGGCTGATGAAAAAGCGTTATTGGATACGCGATCCAAATACTGGTTTGAAGAGTGCGTCGAGGACGTGAAAAAAGTAGACAACGAGGAGACCGCGAAACGGATGCACATCTATTCCAAAAAGGTACGTTCGTATCTACGGAGTTATTGTAAAAATTAATCCAACACTGAATATAAATTCCAATGTTTTAGCCATATGTTGTATATATATAGTCTACAATTCGAGTGGCCTGGCGGAGCTTGGCGATTTCGTTGAACTTGCCTGCGTTTAGCTTCATGAGCCTGTTTCGATACCTGGGATAGAAAAAAATCAAAAGTTAACTGTTGAATTTCCAGTTTGTTCTCCAGGCGCCATAAGATTCGTAGGCCCTCGGGTTAAAATTTATGAGGCTTCAAGAAACAGTACCATCTAACGTAGATACTTACCAAGCCGACTTAATCGGCAACCTAGTTCGTTAGCAACTGTCTCCGTGAAAGTACAAAAGCTTCAAAGCTGTCCTAACACGTGTTGTTCCTTCTAGTGAAATACACTGAGGACGTTTACGCTGAGGAATTGCTAGCAAAACTTTTTTAATACTAGTTCGCAAAACACATGTGATATTTACTATCTATGAACATGCACTATTCTGTTCTAAGGTGATGTACTTCGAGGAAAAAGACGGCGCCGATCCTGAATGTCAGCGGATGCTTCGAGAGGAACTCGCCTATATAGCGCTGCTACGCGAGAAGCAATCGTACATCAATTACAATCTTACCAAAGTGACCGGAAATACCCTTATAAAGCGGCATCTTTAGTCGAAATACAATCCCCATTACAAAGTGCGCTTAGGGTGAAATCAGGTGTGAGTGGCTGCTCTGAGGAAGAGGGCCTTAGACGAAAGGAGGAAGACTTCACACTGTGATGTCTGTGCGACATCGTTGTGAGCATAAGAAAACGTTTCTACGGCAGAGAAAGACAGACGATCTCATGTGTATAGGATGACCGTAAGAAATGACATGTGATACAAAATCCCTCTCCAAATGCGATACATACACAGGGCATGTGGATTAAAGAGGAGTCTCTCACTAATGATGCGATCCTAACTTGTTTCGAATTGAAGGTACCATCTTTCCAAGTCTGTTGCTTAGAACCCGCAACCTGGCTGTATCTATACATTGTCTTGACAGACGTACATGTCCTTGATTTCTGGCCTGCTTAGGATCCAGAGGAAATTCGATATCCAAATATCATACGACTGGGTTTCGGGGTAGTGGTATGTTAAACTAGGAACTTCTGTGTTAAGATCTTAGAAAAATTGTGCGAATTCATCACAACCAGGCGTGTTGATTAGAAGATGAAGAGCCTCATATGTCTGTGCCTAGATAATGGCAAAAATAATTTGAGATCACCAAACATCCATTGAAGACCAGCAGAGGCATTGAGAAATTTTCGACCTGAGACGGGTATATATATGTAGCACACTATATAGCAAAGATAAAGCCATAGAAGGTTCAACGAACAGGCATAAACAGGCCTTCAGCAAATAACACAGCAAGTAATCTATTAAAAATAATTGTTAAGTCTCCTTGTAATTGACAATTAGTGCAGCATGCAATAGATAATACGAATGAATCGTTTTTATAGCCATCTATTCCATTTCACCATAATAACGTAAAAAAATCGTTAAAAATAAGTTTCGGTGAGAAGAAATTAGCGGCGCTATGGCATTAGTGATCGTAATACCTCGTGCCATTGCGTTTCATAATGTTTGTATAAATGTACGTTCGTAGATCTTGCGCGATATCAATGTCAGTCCAGCTGTAGTGGACAAAGGAAAAGGAATTCTCCGTTTTTGGCATCGAAAAAATTTGCTGTCCTAAGTAGCTACACAATACAACAGGTACGACGATGGCCTTAGAAGGCAACATTCCAAAACATTGAGATATCCAGATGAAAACTGGGAAGTAAAGATGTTGCTAATATTTATATAACACAGTGACAGTATATGTATACATAGGAAATGTATATTTTTTTTAATCAGTTGGGTCGCATCGCAGATGGGGCGGTGGTGGAGTTCTATCGGGGGGAAAGGAGGGTCAAGGAGCGGATTGTGATTGTTGTACGAGAATGATGACGCCTACTATCGTTGTTATTATTAATTATATTAGTAAAGGTAAATGATCCGCAACAAATTACAGTAGTACACATTGTACTCTGCGAATATAAGTATCTTTAGCCGAGTATGCAACAACAGATTAGAGCAGTATCGCTATAGCGTTAGATGTGGGTTGCGTCGGAAAGGCTCGACCCTGCGCCAGTCAGTTAAGCACGCTCTGTTCTTTATACTCTGTAGTATAAAAAGGTGAATGCAAACAACCCGTCGAACGAAGTATAGTGATTCTATCAGCGGCCCTAAATGGCCGAAACCACACAGCAACAACGCTGACAACGACAACAATGCGCGGCGTCTAGAACTGCACGGAAATATCATTGCAAAAAACCGGCTAGGGGAAGAGCATCGATGAGATCTGAACGGTCTAAGCCACTTACAACTTTCCAAATTAACAGCGATAAAATAAACTGTCTTCTATTAACATTCTATTGTTATTCGAAATACGGCACTGGACGAGAGTACAAAGTTCCTTTGTTCAAACGATCTGGTGCAAACTTTGGCAGGCGGCAAACTTTGTCAGGTGAAGGTTACAGGTTACCGATAACAGTGATACCGTTCTGAGGTGTCACGCATTCAACCGACCGAGCTTTTTCTATTAGCAGTATACTATAATATTTTGTACGCATTGCCGATTCTTATCTACCGCAATGGATAATTATAGATAAGCAGAACTTTACTATATTATGGGTAAATACACACCTGTTATCTTCATATTTTCCATCCCTAAACCGTTAAGCATCGCATCAGACAGCTGGTTTTCAGCAAGAAACGGAGTGCATCCACGACCTAAAGTACAACCCACTACCCGCTGGCTTACCATGAAGTTATACGTCTTGGTCCCGCTTTCGTCTGCTGATGAACACAAAACAGGTAGAACAAAATGGCAGACGCATAAGTTAATGCTCGCATGTAATATATTGCAATTTATGTAAAGCGTTATCGAAACCTCATTTCACTGGTGTTAGCTTTATCCTCTAGTTCTATATTCCATAATTACCCCTTCTCCAGTGGAATGCGTTTAAATAAGCCAGAGCGAAATTTCAACGTGTGTCCGACTCAACGGCACATTTGCAAGATCAGTAGTAGTAGTAGGCGGCGGCTCATCACGAGGCTACCAATGTTATGAATCGAACACCAGCCGTATTTTAGCTCGAGTACAGTAAATCGTTCACGTTCTTTATAACTAAATTCTGATAACCGAATGGTATCTACTCAGAGGGGCCTTTGCACAGGTTTCAGGGCTACAGGACAACGAATCCCCGAAAAAAGCGTCGGTTCAAATGCATACTACACAGGGACGCATAGCGATCCGCTAATACAGGTACAACATGCGCGTAATGGGAACACTAAAAGGCAGACACGCTAAAAGGCAGAAATGATGATGTACAATATATATATTCGAGTGTCGTGAAATGCAGTTAGGCCTAACAGAACAGAGCTTTTTTTGTTTTTTGGAACTTTTTTTGGAGAAAAACTATGGTGTTCAAGTGTACAAAAGCAACAACAATCTATCAAGAACTTTCACAGATCGCTGCTAACATATGTCAGAGAGGACAAAGTATTCAGGGGAAGATCGTCAAGAACGAAACATCGAAAGTTAGCGTCGGCAAGTTTTGTTTTCACAACTAATAGAATGAAAGTTACATAACGCACTAGCGACGAAAACATAGCAAGGTAAGTTGACGAGAAATTCGCTCTAACAGTATGAGATAAGTTAACAACAAAAAAAAGTCGTGAAGCTGCTTCGAGAGGTCAGAACGAGTAGATAAAAAGATAGATTTGTGATCAAGTAGAAGATTAAGTATGATCACTCGGTCTGTAGAATGTACCTAGAGATGTGATAGCCTATCTGTTTACTACAAATAGTGGCCGTTAGTACTGAGCAAGACAAGAAAAACTAGCATGACGTGTACTCAATGAAATGAGACGAGGATGCAGATAGTATCGAGTAAATGAGTAGTTGTGTATATACCGCTACCAATTATACCGTCCCCAAAAAGAACAGCATTGATAAACGGTAATAAATTATTTCCAACTTAATGAGATAATTTTCATTCGGTATATTTCTTTACTCAGTACAAGTAATTTAGAAATACAGATTGTATTTTTAGACGACAATTCATACGAAACGCTTGACAACTATAAGGATAGTGGGTTATAGCGCGCACAACTCCGGCACGACAGCTATCGTTGTTGTTATTACTACCTGTAAAAATCAAACATTCTTACAATTATTCGAAGTTATTATCTGGAAAAGTATGACGTGTTGTCGGAGTCTGGCGGGTGGTAGGACGATCGGATGCTGGCTTAATTAGATCACGTTTTAATGTCATTAGGATTGTTAATTTCATGTTTGACTTTAGCATGTTTTCCTCTCGGGCCGCCTGCGAACCGGGTGTTTTTCAGTTGTTTATTTTATTTATCCATACACCGGGGCTCACTGAGAGTTACATGTTTTTAAAGCTATTTATCGATTAGATCCAAGTACTGGTTACGTTTGTGAGATTAGTCGTACCCGTCGGCTGGGCAGAAGTTCGAAAAGACGAAAACACCGACAGCCACGGAGTGCACTGTTGGCCGGCTTCAGTATCAGATCGAAGCTATTTCCTATCGTTTTCGAAAATCCTATGTGAAACAATGATACCGCTCCACACTCGTGTAGAGTTCTAAGTTCAACTTGACAACGCCCACGGTTTCACATCTTTATTTTGCCATTCACTAGGCCAGAGCCGAGACGACGCCCTCGGCCGAGCTATCAGCGATCTGATACAGGCCGGGTAGGGACGAACTAGGCAAACAATTACATTTAGAAAAAACGTGATAATAAGAATAACAGTAAACTGAATAATCAATAGATCTATCTATAGGGCGACCTATTGATTTTGTGGCGGATTACTAAGTCAGCGAACAGAATCTACTGTTTTATTTAGCATATTGTCAAAACCACTGCCAACTTGCAGATAGGGCTTTTACACAATGTTGTGCCGCATTCTATTTCGGGAGGCCACAATTTGCCTTTTCCACGAAGTATATTTGTGAGCACTCAGATAGTCTCGGTAGAAACCGAGGTTTTGCCAGCCGCTGCATAGTTTGCCTAAATCGGAAGAATGAAAAACAACATTGTGGTTATTACTAGAGGTAGAATAAGTTTGTCGTCGACGCAAGGCATAGTACATGACATAAATTCGAATTGGAGTGCAGTTATCGGTTGACGTTACTGGGGCTTCATCTGTTTTATATTTAGGAAACCGAGCAGCACTGACGACTATGCCATGATAACATTAGCGTTGTTTCGTATGTTGAGACTGACCTTTCTCTGGACTATTGTAGGCTTCCTACCTAACGAATGGGTCCGTATGATTGGTTCGAAATGAGTCGCTATCCTACAGTCAAGCAGATCAGATTGGTCTTTACGTATAGGGAAAGCATTTTATGCTGAGCGACAAGTGCCAAGTCGTGACGTGCACTCGACAAACTGCGATAGCTACAAACCGGCGGCCTCCTATGAAGGTAGTGTACCCTATCCAGTGGCCTTAATCAAGGTTTTGATCGTATTGCTGAATAAATATAAAAAGAGCTAAGTGGGTTCGGGGCACGAATATCTACAGAAGGCTCCGTAGCCGTTGGCGGGGTCGAGTCAGCCTTGGTTACTCGGACTGGTTGTAAGTAAGTCATTATTGACATCGAAAAGTATTATTTGATAATAAGGTCTTTGATTTAGCCTGGAATGGCTCGTGTCGAGACATTGCTAGGCTTTTTAAGCGGGCGAGGGGTTGAGCAAATAGTGCGATACTGTTTGGCCGACTTGCCGAAGCAAGAAAATCAAACAAAATCAACGTGACGCGTATTAGCTCTATTAAGACGATGCAGTCAATAGCGGTAATTCTTTACTTATAGCACGCTTATCGCATTTATTCCAGAAGCCGATTTCTGTGCAGGTATCCAGACTTCCGTAAGGAGCCGTAGGCCGGCTAGTGTTACTTGCTCAAGTTTACAGGCCGGAATGATTTACGTTACCTTCGCGTAGGTTCCACTGCGCCGCTCTGTGTAGCTCTTATAGTTTATACCGCGGACGTCTGCGCGAGCCCTAGCGACGCGATCTGTTTTACCACAGTTTTACCAGTCTCGTGTTTACCTCGCGCCCGTGTTCAACTAACAGCCACAGCAGTGGTGATGACCGCAGAGGTTATAGTGAACGGCAAGCTTATGACTCCGATCATTTTCTAGCTTCTCGACAAACAGCTGGCCTTTTCTCACAAAAAAGCTTCGAAGACAGTTATTTGAATGATTATACGTTCATACCTCGCTTATGACTGATTGAAACTTATTAATGTTGTCCGAGCCAAGGTCGCGACGCCGAACTAGGAACTCGTCCCTATGAATGGCACATGTTGGTAAGAAACGTTCGTGTAGGCTTCGGCGTTAAGACAGAATCTTGTTGTATGTGTATGCAAACGTGTTAATAATATCGATCAAAGAAGTAGCAGATTGGAACTTCACTAGGAGATTGTTCCGATTGAGCTAGACGTGGATTCAATGACGTTCTGATTGTTTCTGAGACCCATCCAGAAGCGAGAATTGACTTACGCTCTTTGCTAGTGCAACGCATAGAGAAAGCCGCGTAAAAACGTCTGTTGATAGACAAACAGCAATCAACATCAACAAGTTGAGAAAATGAATGTCTTCGATCGTCTTGCTAAGGCTCGTCCTTTCAAACAACAAGTAGCGTACAACACCGTTACGCCATTCCGTCACATGGCGGTAGAGGTATACTTCCATAGGACAACTATTTCTGCTTATTGCTTATCATAACTCGACATTTTGAACACTCTTTACCGGCGAGCAGAAACTTCGAGAACTGTTGTACCTATTAAGAACGTGGACACTGAGATCTAATAGTTAGGCTGCATTTTTTTTTACACTGTCGTCATAGATAAATCTATGTGATTCATTACGCGCACAAATGTAAGATATGATGCTGCCGTACTAAGTTATTGTACAGCCAGCTACAAGTATTACATCGTCACTTTTCATTTTTTTCTTCGTCATGGTTAACGATTGAAATGCCGCGCATCCGCCTATGCTACCTATAATATCACCGCTTCCAGTATAAGGTACATAAAAATGTTGTTGTTAGATCGTCATAAGGTGCACAAATTCATGATGCTCATTTCATGACTCTCTAGACTTGTCTCTAATGTTATGTTACATAGGGTAGTGTGTTCAATTGCTTGTATCAACATAACTTCAACCAGATACTAACGGCAAACGTTACGCTATCAACAACGATTCGAATATTACGGACACAAACCACATAGAAGCTATGTTGTTTCAGCTCGACGCTATAGAACAAACAGCGTTTTAAACCTTAATGTCATTAACCCGAACCGAAAAAAATTCTTATGTTCTCGAAAACGCAAG